AAACGCTTGCGAGAAGATACTCTAACTCTATCTCTATCTCTATATACTCTCTATCTCGTAGCCTGTCCACAGAGGTTTTTCAAATTTTTCGTTCAATTTTGTGAGCACGAAGCTCGCATTTCACACCCCCATCCCCTTGCACTAGCTCTCGATAAAGCCCCCGCGGTTATACCTGATTTTCATTCGAGTGCTCGATGATATCTAAAGAGAAAATAGATGGTCTGGGAACAGGCTATAGATCTCGCAAATTGTGAAAACTGACATAGTATTTCCGTGACTTGACATTCAATCCTAGAAACTTTTACCAAGAAACTGGCCCAATAAACCCAAACTAAGAATAATTCTCCATCAGTCGTTAACAAAAAAGGAAATTTCCGGTGCTGCGAATCGCCGGGATTTGAACCTCGCCAGTCAGCTAACTCGAAAGCGGATTTAAAATTTGCAAGAGACAAGTTTGTTTGTCATTTGAAGAAATAGTGTAGAGGGGCTACCACACTCAGATGATGCAGGAGAGAATGGATTATCCTGTTCAGTTTGTCCCTTCCTGTATATTGTCATCTGTATGAAAGTCACATTGATAGGTTGTCATGTATTGTTCCTCGAGTTTCTTCCCCACCCGTCCAGCAAGTGATTCACTCGTCGTAACTCCACATCCGTTTAAACATGTTGAAGTGTTTCCGTCACAATTTGAAGGCTGCAAACATTCTTGATATTCTTTCCACCAATGTTTGGGTCGTCAGCCTGGTTGTCGATCAAGGACATTCCTTCTAAAAGATCGCCGACGTCAGAGTCTTCACTAATTTTCTCAGCCATTATTAGGTTCTAAGACAAACGAATAAAAAGCTAATGTGGAACGAGAATATCATCATTTAACGCTGGAACAGTCTCTTCTGGAAAGGATATGCATCGCCTGTTTAGTCACCAAGGAAACCTAGCCCAGAAACAAAAGAGCTCCTGCAACATATAGGAGTCCAGTGAAATGAGGTGCAAGGCTACTGATTTACGCGCGTGCATTTCACGTGACCATCTAGTAACTTCTCCTGCGTTCGTGTTCTTTATATTATATCGTCCATTCTGTGGTTAGGAGCGTTTTAGCCTCCCACACATACGGTCTTAGGGGCTTCTTCACAAGAATGCTCCATGAAGCCCCAAAAACATTAGGCTGCTCGTTTCTAAGGTCTATCTGCGAATATGAGGTGGGTTATAAAATAGCTAACTTTCATGGAAGGCCTGATACTCAACTTAATAAGGGCACAAAGAAGCAATTTTATTCTTTTCTTTTGCGAACGCCCCCGCCCCTCACCTTAGACTGCACTCCTATAAAGTTTATTTATAGTTGGGCCTCTCTGTGGGCGCACAATTTCTTGCTCGTTACCTCATGTTAACCTTTTTTAACTCATACATGCCCAAGGGAATTTTACGAGTAAACGCTGTGGGATGAGATATGAAAATACGTCACTCACTCAGGTTTCGTAGTCCTGGATCGAGTCGCTCCGAACTCGCCCGATATGAAAACGGCATGTCGTCGTTGTTGCCGAAGTGTACTGACTTTGAGCAACTACCTTTGTGGCGGTTCGGGCATTCCATTCACTCACGTCACCTCGTGAGAGAACCCAGGGAACGAAGTGCGGAAACGTCATCATTCGATGTCGATTCTATCAGTTCTGTAGGTCGTTAAACTGCCAAACAGTCCATACTTTTGTGTATTCAAGTATGCACGAACAGTCAAACATCCGAACTGTTCTGGGCATCGTAATGCCACGAGCGAAATGTGTTCTGACATTGATGACATTTCGCGCGTGACATTACGATGCTTCACAACTTTGCTCAAATGGTCAAGTATCAAGTGAAATATCAGTGACCATGTGTTCAAAACACTGACCACTTTGAAAAAAGTCTTACAACGGCCTGTATTGTTTCACTTCACTGAACTGCCTGTGGCGTTTGTTTGCCGAACGTGTTCTATCTTTAAAGGGCCTGTTTACATGGGACCACAGGTAAGTAAGGTAACCTGTTAACACGTTGTTTGATCAGTCCCTGCCGTTGTCTTTTTGAAAATAATTTATACTTTTGATTAATTTTGACTTATCGCGATCTTTTTTCATCCAACATTGAGAACAAATGATTCCCGTTACATCAAATTCGTTGATTGAACAACTAGCCGGCTTTGGCAGTGGCTTTGCATCATGGAAAGTGCCAAGCATGAGAGGTTGAAAGATTTTAAAACAAGAGCGGCAATTGAGAGTAGAAGAGCATTAAACACCAAACGCTTTTTTTGTTGTTGTTCTGGTTGTGGTTGTTTGTGTGCTAAGCGACAATTCAATAATCTTAAGAAAATGCAGGATGTACCAGGATGGCGGATTTGTATGTATGTTTTTTTTTTTACCCCACCTGAGCGAGTTACTTTACCTACTTAGGATCCCACACCTCCATGAAAACAGGCCGATAGTAGCATCATCATCAGTTCTTTTGGGTGTGTGAATGTGCTGTTGCAATACCTCGAATGGTTGCAGTTACAGTTGACAATACGTTTTGTTAACCAAGTCAGTTGAATCATTCTCAAAAAGTTTCTTTCAAAATGCGCTGGAATTATATTGAAAATTGTGGCAGCTGGGTAAATTACAAAGTGTGATGGACAGTTATTACGACAAATCTTGCGACATTTGCGCACAAACTGTGACGCTACTAGCGTACGACTTATTCAGGGCCCGGTCCACACGTATCCGAAGATTTTTGAATCCGAAATATTTTCTTTGCCGATTCGGCCTCCGTCCACACGTATCGGGCGTATCCCGCATACGAATCCGCACCTTTTTAATCCTCTCTTCAGAGTGGAAATTTTTGAATACGCTATGCCGATCCAGAATCTTTTGGACGCCAAATCCGGATATTTTATTTTATCCAGTGACGCTACATTATCTAGCTCTGTTCTTCACTGTGAATATTCAAGACGGTGCCGAGCGCAATGTTTTCGCGTCCTTACTTCTTTGACTTTAGGTTCAAGTCTTACAACGTTTTTGCGGTTAAATCTATGATTACTGTACACTTCGATCGTACCAACAGGGGGGTCGACATGAAATGAAATTGGCTTTTTCCAAAATGAAAGAGTCGGAATGCTCGGCGGCTCGCTCTATGGAGTGTAAATTACAGATTTTGGACACACTGGCTGACGCTTCAGGATGGAAAGCTACTAAAGATATCCCTCGGAATAGTGTGTAAATAAGTATATGAAGAAAAACTGAAACCCTTAATCTAGTGTTGAAGACAGCATCCAGTTTCTTTGAATTGTCATCAACACAATTTAAAATCTCTGTGTAGTCCCTCAGGGATCTGTTCTGGGCGCCATCTTTTTTATATATCTACATTTATGATATTCATAAACCCTCCAATAAATTACAATTTTCTCTGTGCCGATGATACTACTCTTCTTTTTGCTCACAAAAATTTACAATTGCTAGAAACATTTATTTAACAGTGAACTGCGCGAAGTTTCTGAGTGCCTTACTGTCAACACTAAATATCAAAAATGAAATTGTGTTATATTTCATCCTCACCAAAAAAAGATTAAGGACCGCTTCAGACTCCTCTCCACTCGTGTGCCGAACCTAACTGGTGAATTAAGTACGGCAAAAGAGCGGCGCCTAAATAAGTTTGGTACGGCGGTTTCGACAGTCTGTCGAACTTTTGTCGAACTTAACTTAGGCTCGACACACGGTGCTCGGTCTGAATCAGATGTCGCGCCAGTGTCTCCAAAGTGGAACTTATTCAATTAGATTCGGTACATCACGAAAAAGTACGACTCTAGCATTAGTAGGTGCTGTTCCCTTGATCGTAAAGATTTTGTCAAATTCCTGAGAATCCTCATCGATAGTACCTTTAAATTGGAAACATCATATCAACTTTGTTTCCCTCAAAATTAGTTTGGAATCTTACCAAGACACTTTGTTCCCCGCCAAACTGTCCTGATGATTTACTGTTCGCTAATTCAGCCATGTTTATCCAACGGGATATGTGTGTGGGTCAGTGCAACTAAATCGTACCTCAACAAACTTCTTATCCTTCAAAAAACGCGCTCGCTCTTTAATTAATTTATTTTGCTCCCAGCTATGCTCATGTTATTCCTTTTTTTATGAAAGCAAAGATTTAACCTTTAAGTATGATCTATTTAGATACCTTAGCGAATTTGATGCATGATATTTAAAAGGGACTTGATTCCTTACCGTTAAGACATATTTTCACCGGGTCAAATGAAATTCACATATATAATACTAGCCATGCTACTAAAGTAATCGCCAGAGAGAAAGAGCAAAGATGGGCATTTTCAAACGCTCATTTTCAAGAACTGGAGCTAAAGTATGGAAACTAATTCCTTCTGACTGGAGAGATGCTTGTAAATCCGTTTTTAAGAGAAAGATTCGAGGGTTTTTAATTCCATAATCTTATGGATAGGCACGACTATGTTGAAGTCGACACTTAAGTTAATAGACAACACCCATGCTCTACAAAATATATGTAACGTATTTAATAAATTTAACTGCTCTTAGCAAATAATTACGCCGTACAAGATATCAATTTTTTTTTTCTTGGTAAACTTATAATTACATCTAGTCTTTAATTCGTACTTTTCTTTCATGTCCACTTCACCTTCCGCCTCGGTTAGCTTAAGCTAAACTTCAGCCGGAGGGTGTGTGAAATATTTAGAATCATTTTTTCTTTTCAGTTTACTTTAATTTATTACTTGTAAACGTCATGTGCAATTTAGTTGTTGTTGTTGTTGTTGTTGTTGTTACAGCCTTAAATGGATCCGGTAATGGATTTCCTTTTTTAGTGTAGATTCTTTTAGGGGTTAAATAAATCCTGAGCCATACCCAGATTGGTCTCCTACGAGGGTATAATTCTAATTATTTTCCGACAAGCATCTTCCTCTCTTAAAAACTAAGAGTCACGAAACCCCAATAGAAACGTAGAGGAAATCATGCAGCATGAAACGGATGGCTTGATCATATGATCCTATCAAGGATAGGAGAGTATTCGCTTACATCCCCGCTCGTTATTACCACTAGCCTTGCTACAGCTCTGGTAAACATGGTGTAATTAGACGACAGATGAGGAGACCCTGAAATGGCAATAACAACAGGCCATTCATATGAAAGAGCTTTAGATGCAAAGTCCAGGGTAACTGCATTCTTCTGGTCGCCAATATCACAAACAGGAATTTCTCTCCTTGCTATAGCACTAGACAAGTGTTCCTTGGAGACAGAATCTGTAAGAAGGACAGCAACGTGATCTAGGGAATCCTCGTTTGTACACATTTTGACCTGTTCCTGGATGATTTGTGTCATAGATTCATAATCTGTAGCTTGGAGAACTGTAACAGGTGGTCCACAAATGCGGTGGCCAAGGTGGTTTGAGACATCATAACGTTCCACAAATTTGGTTAAAATCTCTCTTGTTTCTTTTTCCAAGTGATCGAAACCTGGAGGCTCTATTTTCTGCAGAGTTTCCTTAACGAAAGCTTGTACAAAACGATAAACTTGAAAGGTGGCTCTCACCGTTGTTGACAGGCAAGGGCCATGATGAAAGTTGAAGGTTTTGCTAGCTTTCTGAGCTTCAGCGTGTACCTTTGCTCCGGATTTTAAAGCCTCCACTGTATCCTGCGTTTCGCTTATGCTAATTTGCATATAATCATAAGCAATCCAACAGTAACAATGATGATCTGCCATTTGAATTAGTTCTTCTAAGAGTTTCAACGCGTCTGGAATTTCCGTAAGAAATGCCTGTAACTCATCAACGAAGATGTGGAATTTTACGTCATTCTTCTCCAGATCCCTCAACTCAACAGGGGAGAGAACATCCACTCCACTATGAATGTTACGCTCTACAAAAAAGGCCTGGAACAGTGCTTTCAGAGATGAGGGGACCACAGCTAAAACCTTTTCTCCGTTCTTGGCGTATTTGACGCATTCCAAAGCTTTGAACTGGAGCAAAATGGTTTTCCCACTGCCACTAGAACCGTTGAAAAACTGACGGCGTGGACCATTCCATATTCGTAGCTGATCAGGATTAAGGAACATAAATTGCTTCGCCAACACAGCTTCTGCCTTTTCGACACCTTGGGATCCACATGTCGCCTTTCTGGTGCTCTTCTTATAGCTCGTTTCAAGAAATTTCTGCTTTTCAATCTTCATGCAGACGTCTGATATGACCACATCAGCGCTGACTTCACAGGTTTGACCGACAAAATTCGAAATAAGATTTTGTACCTTGCACTTGTCGTGATGGCCAAATTTCTTTTCAGGAAATCCCTTTTCCCACCAACTCATAAAATTATCAACCGAGCGTACTGTTATTTCTCGAAGATTAATGAAAATTTCACTTTCATAGCAGCGATGATTTACATTGGGCATCGCTATCACTTTATAAACAGGAATGGCGATTTCATGCTTCACATCTTGCTGTAAAAGAGCGTGTATAATTTCCTCTGCATTTTGAAGCTGGGATTTTGCTTTGCGCTGTACTGTATTGGAGAAATTTAAAGCCGCCTTCACCTCGACGAGGATGACTCCAATTTTTCGGTGAATTATCAAGAAGTCGATTATTTCGAGATCTTTGCCCAGAATCAATGGAGAATTGAAAATGGCATGAGCGGCTGGTAACTTCAGTCGAAGAATAGTTTTGATGAATTCCGATATTTTCAGCTGTGTAAAAACAAACATCGGTTGATTTGTGCTCTTGCCAAACTTCTCAAGCATATGAAAAATTTTTAGTTCGGCCTCATCACCCCTTAAGGTATCCTGCTCGATTTTAGAAAGCGCCGTCGCGCCAGAAGCTTCACCAGTTGGAGCGACGTATCCAAACGAAAACACGAGAGGGCACATAACCGTTCCATGATCTTCTGAATTTACACATTCAGGATAGATTCTGGCAAAATGATCTTCGCAAGCTTTCGCCAGATCAGGAGAATACTGACCTGCAGGCCCTTTAGTTAAAACAAAGTGTTCCGCCATGATTGAATTTCAGCTGGAACTTGTTTTGGCTGCTTCCGGGTTGAGGTTTCATTCGCCTTTGATGATGCAATCTTCTCCCTCTTTTCTAATTTGCATTGCAGGGAAATAAAGTTTTCTGCTATTTTCTTACCAAATAAGGAAATAAATTCACGACTGAAATTTCTGCATTCGAACAAAGAGCATTTCTAAGTGAAAAAAGAAACAAGGTAATCAATAAAATACGACCATCGGCACTGTTGCGTAACGTTCAAAAATATACATGGATTTGTATGAGAGAAAAAAAAATATTGTTTCTGTAGCCTACGACTGATGCGGAACGATTTAAGGTGGCTCGACTGGATTTTTTGGGGTTGATACCTCCCAACTTTGAGCATTAACTACATCGGCATGAGTAAAGATATGGAAAAATTGTTACCACAACTGTATTATATAAAGATGAAAATTTCTTATGATCTGGGTTTTATTGCAATCGGAGTCGCCATGGCAACGTAATGACGCCATTACGTTTTTCATTTATCTTTGTGTTTCTCTGTTCCAGGAGTTTTTTGAAGAAATCGCTTTAGGGAGTATGTACCTGCTATAATTGCCTCCATTATGGCGTAGTTTGAACAAATTCTATGAGAGCGTTTTCGAAATATTTTGAAAT